CCCCCTCTAGGGTCTAACAGGTTATTCACTAACATGGCACAATCCTAATTGCTACATGTGAAATCATCAACATACTGAGATAACCGATATAAGTCTCAAGACTAAGAGACAAATTTGTCTCGCTTACTCATTGATAGTTTGGATATCTATGTATAAGTACTTATATTAAGTCTTGATCTTACAGTACATGTAATACATGTAAGTTCCTAATGTACATTCAAGAGGTATTGAAAATCATTTCTTGGGAAAATTGTGTCAAGGACCCAAAAGTAAAGTCTTCATGTGCTGCAGCCCCTTTGATTTTTTCCATATGGTTCAGCCCTTAAATTGGAGATCTATGTTCTGCAGCCCTCTTTTAGTAATTATCACCTGCCAACTAAGTATAGAGAGAGAATAAAAAGTAAAAAACTCTAAAATACCCTTATCTCCTCTATTCTTTCATGTTAAGTCAAAAACAAGTTGAATTAGACTTAACATGAAAGTCTATTTCATGTTAAGTCTAATTCGGTTCATGTTAAGTATAATTTAATTCCTTTTAAGTCTAGTTATGTCTAATTCAACTTGTTTCAAGTCTAATTTAATTCATGTTAAATCTAATTCAACTTGTTTTAAGTCTACTTTCATGTTAAGTTTAATTTAATTCATATTAAGTCCAATTTAATTTATTTTAAGTCTAATTTAAATCATGTTATATCTAATTCAACTTATTTTAAGTCTAATTTAATTGGATTTAACATAAAATTAGACTTAAAATTTTGAAATGGACTTAACATGGTTTAAATTAAACTTAAGAGGAATTTAACATGATTAAAATTAGATTTAAAATAAGTTAAAATTGACTAAACATGATTCATGTTAAGTCTAATTCAACTTATTTTTAGACTTAAAATAAGTTGAATTAGACATAACATGATATAAACTATACTTAAAAGAAATTAAATTAGACTTAACATGAACCGAATTAGACTTAATGTAAACCAAAATGGACTTAACATAAATCAAATTGGACTTAATATGAAATTAAATTTAAAACAAGTTGAATTAGACTTAACGTGATTCATGTTAAGTCTATTTCAACTTGTTTTTAGACTTGAAACAAGCTGAATTAGATATAACATTATTTAAATTAGACTTAAAAAATTTTAAATTAGACTTAACATGAACTAAATTAGATGTAACATGAAATTAGACTTTAAACAAGTTGAATTAGGCTTAACATGATTTAAATTAGACTTAATATAAACTGAATTGGACTTAACATGAACTAAATTGGACTTAACATGAACCAAATTGGACTTAACATAATTTAAATTGAACTTAACATGAATCAAATTGGACTTAACATGATTAAATTGGATTTAACAAGAAATGAATTGGACTTAACATGAACTGGGAGGAAGCGACGATGATGAGGGAATTTATGGGAAGGAGAGGAATTAGGAAGGCTACAGGGTTTAGTGAGATTGAGGCGGATGAGATTTCTCATAGATTCATTGCTCATGACAAGAATCAACTAAAATTGGAAGGCATACATGCAGTGTTGGGTATTATAAGGATTGAACTTAAGACAGAAAATGATATTAGTTATCAAGAAGCTTGTTTTATGTGATTTAAAAGGCTATGACATGGAAACCAAAATGGACTTAACATGAATCAAATTGGACTTAATATGAAATTAAATTTAAAACAAGTTGAATTAGACTTAACGTGATTCATGTTAAGTTTATTTCAACTTGTTTTAAACTTGAAACAAGTTGAATTAGATATAACATTATTTAAATTAGACTTAAAAGAAATTAAATTAGACTTAACATGAACTAAATAGGATGTAACATGAAATTAGACTTAAAACAAGTTAAATTAGGCTTAACATGATCTAAATTGGACTTAATATAAACCGAATTAGACTTAACAAGAACTAAATTGGACTTAACATGAACCGAATTGGACTTAACATAATTTAAATTGGACTTAACATGAATCTAATTGGACTTAACATGATTAAATTTGATTTAACATGAACCGAATCGGACTTAACATGAATTAGGAGGAAGCGACGACGATGAGGGAATTATGAAGGCCACAGGGTTTAGTGAGATTGAGGCGGATGAGATTCTCATAGGGTCTGTTTGGTTGGTTTCCTAAAAATCAAGAAAAGGAAAAGAGTACATGGAAACCAATAAAATATTATTTTCATCCATTTCCTTCCCTAAAACTCACCACAACATCCAATAAAATATTATTTTCATCCCACAACTCAACTCATATCATTTCCTAAAAATAAATCAAACACAAGAAATGTGTCACATCAACCAACTTATCTCATCTCCATCACATCTCATCGTTAAAAATCACTCACATCATCCAATAATATGGTGATAACTCATCTCATCTCATTAACATTTTATTTCCACCCATTTCCTCCAAAAAAACTAGAAAATCGATTTCCTTAAGTGTGGGTCACATCATCCAACAATATAATGACAACTCATCTCATCTCATTTATTTTTTTATTTTTATGAATGAACCAAACACAAGAAAAGAACCTATTACAGGAAATATGTTTCTTATAATTTATTTCCTTATTTTTTTAGCCAACCAAACAAATTTTCTTAAAAAATCACCCACACCATCCAATAATAATGTGACAACTCATCTCTCATTCTTTGTTTTCCTTCTTTTTTTAGCCAACCAAACAATCTCAAAACAATTTTTCTTAGAAATAAGTTTCCTATTCTTTGATTTCCCTCTTTTTTTTAGGCAAACAAACAGCCTTAATGGAAACTTGAATGAAATGTCCTCATCTATGTGGCAAGGGTCCTACTTCATTGATCTATTAATTTTGCTCTGGAATTCTAATTAAAAATGTCAGCTCTCTCCTTTGTCACATCTACAGAGAATTCACATATTCTTAAAACCATTGAAAACAATGCAATTTGTCATATTAGTGGTTATTTTGTGCAAGACCATTAGATAACACTGATGGCTACGAAGTATGAAACAAGTTACTGACATAAATTGAGATCGTTGCATGTTTCAGGTAACTGTAATTTATGTTGTATTTTGCATTGCAATTGAGACCGTGCTTAAATTGAATAAAGTTCATGGCCAATTCCATGATCAGAAATGCTTTAAGCTCTTTGTGCTGTTATTAGATGATATTTATGAAATAGTAAATACTTGATGACACTAAGTTACAGTCATGAGTGCATTTATTTGTATTTTACCTCATGTCACAACTTAATTTAGAAATAATCTTTACAATTTACTCATGTATATTTATGGACATTAAAAGGTTAGAAAGCAAAAGCAAAGGCTACTGATGAGTACATCAGATCAATGGCCGATTTGACTCCATTTCCTTTAGAAACCCACAAATGTTTTTGTTAGGAAATCACTTGGAAGCCTAACTAGATGGTTTCTTTGTCGGATTTTCTTTTTCTAGTTTTCTGAAAAATGAACCAAATAGCCTTCTTAGTTCAAAAAAAAAGAAAAAAAAAAGTAGAGAACCTCTTGGAAAGGTTCCGACACATTTAGAAAAGAGTGTTTCCCACTATTTTCCGTTTCGGGGCTGTTTGGTTGGTATTTTTTGCCTTTGTAAAGCTGCCAAAACTGACAAAAGCTGTCAGTTTTGACAGCTTTACTTGCAAAAACGCTCAAAAATGGGCGTTTTTGCAAGTAAAGCTGTCAAAACTAAGTTACTGACATAAATTGAGATCGTTGCATGTTTCAGGTAACTGTAATTTATGTTGTATTTTGCATTGCAATTGAGACCGTGCTTAAATTGAATAAAGTTCATGGCCAATTCCATGATCAGAAATGCTTTAAGCTCTTTGTGCTGTTATTAGATGATATTTATGAAATAGTAAATACTTGATGACACTAAGTTACAGTCATGAGTGCATTTATTTGTATTTTACCTCATGTCACAACTTAATTTAGAAATAATCTTTACAATTTACTCATGTATATTTATGGACATTAAAAGGTTAGAAAGCAAAAGCAAAGGCTACTGATGAGTACATCAGATCAATGGCCGATTTGACTCCATTTCCTTTAGAAACCCACAAATGTTTTTGTTAGGAAATCACTTGGAAGCCTAACTAGATGGTTTCTTTGTCGGATTTTCTTTTTCTAGTTTTCTGAAAAATGAACCAAATAGCCTTCTTAGTTCAAAAAAAAAGAAAAAAAAAAGTAGAGAACCTCTTGGAAAGGTTCCGACACATTTAGAAAAGAGTGTTTCCCACTATTTTCCGTTTCGGGGCTGTTTGGTTGGTATTTTTTGCCTTTGTAAAGCTGCCAAAACTGACAGCTTTTGTCAGTTTTAGTAGCTTTACAAGGGCAAAAAATGCCAACCAAACAGCCCTTTCTATTGCTTGGTTTAGAAAAAAGAAAAACGCTTCATAAAACAAGCTACTTTTTCTTAAAACCCAGAAACCCAAATGGGCTGGAAAGCTGTGAAACCTGACAAATGTATTTTTTTTTACAAAAAAGTTATTTTTTTGGTTGAATCAAATTGTGTCTGTACCCACCTCAGCAATTATATCATTACATTTCAACTGCTCTCAAAATGTGGGCACATTCTTATTAAACTCTCTTGCTCAGCTATTTGCATTGAGAATCTTTCACACAACTTTCTCCCTCAGAAGTTCACATTCTCGCATAATAACATAAAAAAATAGAAAACCCAATTTTAGGAATAGTTTCATCATGTTTTTTCGGAAAAAGTTGTCCATTTTTTTGGGAGGTGATTTCTTAAAATGTCACACCACGTCACAAAAACAATAGAACCCATTTCCAAGTTTATAAGCTAGAAATCAAATAAATGGGAATAAATATTGGGAGGAGGGTTTTTTTGGGCGTCATCCGGACTCTATATATTTCCTATAAACAACTGAAATTGAGGCTTTATTTTTTGGTATGATCTAAGGGCGAACCACAAAGTAAAAAACACTTTTTCAAGAAACTCACAAAAAACACACGACGGAAAAAAGACTTATATAGGAATTGTATTTTCCATAAATATCATTGTCGAAACAAACAGCCTTCGACGTCCAGACTCCTGTTAATAGGTCTCTGTCCTCTGCACTCACGCGAAAGATCTCTCAGCTCAATTCTCAACACTGCTCTGATTCTCTCTTTTCATTTATGGCTTTTGCTGGGGAAAACAATCGTCATCTTTTACCAGCGTCTCGTCTGAGCAGCTCCATTGGCTTTGTATAGGGAGGCATTGCAGGTATCTGGATGCAAGTTGGCCAGCGAGAACTGATGCTTTTCGTCTTCTTATCTTTTATTTCGATTTTTATTTCATCGTGTATTTCATCTGCAATTTGATTTTTCATGCAGCTGTTTGCCGTAAAAATGTGACTTTTCCCTCCTCCACCTCCTCGGCGTCCTCGAGCAGTGATCTTGAGGTAGCACTGTTGTTGGTAAAGTCACTGATTCCCCAAATTATGCCTAACTATCTCATGCAGTTCTTTGATGAATTTGAGACTTTTTGTGGTCTAAAGCGATTAGTGTTTGCATTTTGGTTGAGAATTACAATTTGAGCAAAAACCTGCTAGCTTTTCTTGCAAAGTTGCTAGCTAGTTGGAGGGTCCGCTAATAGGAATTACATTAGGTACCATGGAAATTCAACAACTAAGTTATCTATGTCAAAGGCCATTGATTAGGAATAGCTATAAGGATGGTACTCGTTGTAGGGCTTCACTTGTTAATAGTTCGACTCAGAGGGTGTTCGGGAAGGCTTATTTTTTTAAACTTTTAACTTATGCTAGCTTTTAGTTGCTTTTGGATTTTTTTGATAAAAATGCTATAAAAACTATTTGAGTAGGATAGTAATTTGTTTGGCCAAACTTAGCTTATTTAAGTGAGCTTATAGGCTAGTTTTCCAAAAGCTGGGGTATACCAGCTAGTTTTCCAAATGAGACTTATAAGCTAACTTATTAGGTATTTTAACAAACATATAGAGATGAAAGAGCTAGCTTAAAAGCTAGTTTGACCAAAAAATAAGCCTCCCCAAACACCCTTATAATCCACTTCATCGAGAATAGGAATTGGTAAGAAAGAGAAAGAAGAGGCCCCCTACCAGACCTCGGTTAAGAACGCTCCTGTGACCTACCTGTTGCTTTAGATGTGGTGTAAAGGGACATTTTGTACGCAATTGCCAAAATGGAATGTGAGGTTTTTCATGTAACAAATTGGGCACTCATCTAAGGCAACGGTTAGGTGTGCGTTCATGAAACTTGGTTAACTCTTGGGAGAGAACTTCCAAGTTTGAGTTGTTTGAGATATACCTCCATGATTTGTAAGACCATGGGATCTTCATGTTACTTCACCAATTACATCGCCCTAGATTGGGGCGAGCTACGTTAAAAAAAATTTCTGCTGCTTCTCTAGTTTAATCTATATCTTCCTTCTGAAATCAATAATCACCCCTCAGCATGAAAGGTACTTATCCAGGTGTGATAATAACTAATGGATGCTTAAGTGGATTCATGTGGCACATATATAAATAGAATGACAAGAAAGCAATTATTTGCAACTGTAGTAATGAGTTTTTGGCTTAAGGTGGAAGATACAAAACAATGGGTTCGATCTTTACTAGATATGCTAGAGATGATCTTAACACAAGTTTGTCATATGTATCAATTCAAGGATATCAAAGATATATTAGTCCACTAGTCCACCTTGCTAGATGCTTAAGTGACTATTTGGGCTTTACTATATACGACAAGCTGGAGTTTACTAGAACATATGCTTGCATCCTGTTGATTATTGGAATAAATAGAAAGACTATATTCAGTATAAATGTTGGTTTCCTCAAGTCTTTTGTCCATTTAGGATTACTTGACTCTTTGAAAATGCTTACTTCAGTATTACCAAAGGCACACGCTTCATAAGCCTTGCGATGTCCAGCAGTGCCGAAGCACCCCACAACCATTGTTGCAGTGTCTTTTTGTGCCTTCCAAGTGCTCTGTGCTAAGGCGCTTCATACAGGACTGCAAGGCATAGCCTCATATATTTTTGTTCTTTAACTTTTCAATAGGGCCTTTATACAAGATAACTGATATCCTTGAGAGAAAAATAAACTCATTTGGCCTTTTTAGTAACCTGATTTAAGACCCTAACTCATTCTTCTTTACTATTTGATTTTGATTCAATATTAGTCTTGATTTGACTTCTGATACGAAAAATTATGACAGCTACTATGTTGGATGTGTTAGCATTATGACTTAAACCATATTTTGTAATTTGGTAGTATTATTTATCTTGACATATTTTTTCTGTAAAAATGCATATACATTTTCTTTCGTGCTTGAATGTCTATATTGAAAAATTATGTGTGCAATGTGTGCTTCGCTTCACTCAGGCACGCGCATCACGTTGCGCCTTGCACATGTGCTTGTAAAGGGCCTATGCCCTCGCAGATAACTTTGCTATCTATAATATTCAAATTTGGATTTAAAGTTTAGTTCAGAAAGAAAATCTTTATTGAGTGTAAACACAATTAGTTTTTTTATCATCATAACGATTGTGATTTTGTTACCTAGGTGAAAAGTTGACAAGTTAGAAGTTGGTTACTACAGTTACATTCCCATCTTCTATCTTCTTCCTGCTCTGTTAGCTACCAGACTAAGAAATGTTATAACGCAGATTTCAAGGTTTCTGGAGACATTTATGGTTTTCAATAGTCAGCTCTGGAGAAATTTCCTTTTCTTCATCGCGTGGTTTCTCTCAAGAAGACTTTTTACCAAATGCATTCTGATCTCATATCTTATTCAACATATTTTTTCTTGTTCCTGCCTTTGAGATATCATCATCAGTTCATGTTGCAGAAGTAGCTGATTCAATATTTAGTTATTGCACCAAGAAATTTTTTAAGAATTGAAGATTACCAGCTGATGCATTATTTAGTATTACTAATTTACAACAATTCTCATTTGATTTGGCTTGATGAAGTTGTTTACTTGTTTATCCTTTTATTTCTTTTTTATTATTATTGAACCTTCTACTATATAAGTGTTCCCTTGGCTCTCTATTTTCATTAGACAAATCATCAAGGGACATTATATGTTCAATTCTTTCATAAGAGCTGATGCTAGGGATGACTGCTTTAGATGAAGGCATTCATAACTTGTTATTGATGGAATTTGAAGAACACAACACTCTACACAAAGGAAACTTTTATTGATAGAACACTTGAGAATACAACACTTGTTCTTACAAGAACACCTCACTTTCACACAATTCCTTTATTTTGGTGGACACTCACACAAGGCTACACTACACACTCAAGCTCTCAAGCTCACTTCTTGCTTGCTTGCTTGCTTTCCCAAATGAGAGCACAAGACCCCTATTTATAGTTGTTTAAGAGGGCTAGGAAGTGTGTAGAAGAGTTAATCCTAGCCATACATTACTAAGAAGTTTCTAGAAGAATAAATACTAGCCATACACTTGTATCTTCCTAGAAACTTCATGGTAGATATTTTGTAGGATGTTACTAGAAAGAAGTTCTAGAAAGTTGTTCTAGAATAATCTAAGTTGGTGAGGAATTCTAATACTCCCCCTCATCACCAACTTTCATTTCTCTCAAGTCCAAGCTTCTTCTTAAGCTTCAAAAATGTCTCTGTCTTTAGTGGCTTGGTGAAGATGTCAGCGATTTGGTCTTCAGACTTGCAATATGACAGCATCACAGTCTTCTTTTTAACTTGATGTCGGATGAAATGATATCTTGTCTCTATGTGTTTGCTTCGTCCATGTGCTACCGGATTTTTGGCAAGTGCAATAGCTGACTTGTTGTCGATGAGAATCTCTGTCGGTGCTTCTTGTTGGTGTTGCAATTCCTTCATCAGACTCCTGAGCCATATTGCTTGACACGCACATGTCGATGCTGCTATGTATTCTGCTTCGCAACTTGATAGAGCGACGACAGACTGCTTCTTTGATGACCATGAGAATGTTGCTGATCCGATATTGAACATGTAGCCAGATGTGCTCTTTCTTTCATCTAAATCTCCACCATAATCGCTGTCGGTGTAGCCGACTAATCTTGAATCTGCACACTGTGTATAAAATAATCCTTGATCAATACTTCCTCGGACATACCTGAGAATTCTCTTGGCTGCTTTGAAATGCTCCTGTCTTGGCTCCTCCATATATCTGCTCACCAGTCCTACCGCGAACACTATGTCGGGCCTGGTGATGGTTAGGTAGCGCAAGCTCCCGACTAAACTCTTGTATAGAGTTGGATCAATATAGCTTCCTGGTGTGTCTCGCCTCAGCTTCACTCCGACTTCTGCAGGAGTTGCGACTGGATTGCAGTTGCTCATGTTGAACTTCTGAAGGATATCCTTTGCATACTTCTTCTGAGAGATGAAGATTCCTTTCTCTGATTGCGACACTTCTACTCCAAGAAAGTATGACATTTCTCCAATGTCAGTCATCTCGAACTCCTTGATCATATTCTTTTTGAACTCCTCGAACATTTTCGGATTGTTGCCGGTGAAGATCATGTCGTCCACGTAGAGACATACGATCATGATGTCTTCATCCTTCTTCTTGGTATAGAGAGAGTGCTCATACGGGCTCCGATGGAATCCGTTCTTCTGGAAGTATGCATCGATTCTGGCATTCCATGCTCTGGGCGCTTGCTTCAGTCCATACAATGCCTTCTTCAGCTTGTAGACTTTGTCTTCTTGATTCTTCACCTCGTACCCTGGTGGTTGCTTGATGTAGACTTCTTCTTCTAAGTAGCCGTTCAGGAATGCAGACTTCACGTCCATCTGGTAGATCTTCCACCGGTTCTGTGCTGCCAATGCGATAATGAGTCGGATGGTGTCGATCCTCGCGACTGGTGCGAACACTTCTTCATAGTCAACTCCTTCTCGCTGACTATAGCCTTTTGCAACAAGCCTGGCCTTGTACTTCTCGATTCCGCCATCTTGATTTGTCTTTGTCTTGTACACCCACTTTACTCCGATTGGTTTATGGCCTTCAGGTAAGGTAGTGAGCTCCCATGTGTCATTTCTCTTGATTGCCTCGATCTCGTCATCCATGGCTTTTCTCCACTTATCTTCTTGAGCAGCTTCTTCATAGCTGACCGGATCACATTCTGCAAACAAGCAGAATAGTGTGTAGTCATCCATCATCTCGACAGGCTCTGTATCGTCGTACAGATCTCTTAGGCTTCTCATCCTCCTTGTTGCTCCCCCTGAAGAGCTTCCTTCACTTGAGCTGGATGATGTCGGCGTTGATGTTGGGGTTGATGGAGCTGGACTATTAGGTGGACTTTGTTCTGGTCTTCCAACCTCCTGCAAGTCATCATCATTATCTTCAAAGAACATACCTTTAATATTTTTATCTTCATCGGTCCATTTCCAATAATCTTCTTCATCGAACTCCACGTCTCTTGAAATGATCATCTTCTTTGTAACTGGATTGTAGAGCTTGTATGCTTTTGTCCTCCTCTCGTACCCAACGAATATGCACTTTTCTCCTCGATCGTCCAACTTCTTTCTTTTCTGCTCCGGGATGTGTGCATATGCAATACACCCAAACACCTTCAGGTGGTTGACACTTGGCTTGATGTTGCTCCACATCTCCAATGGTGTCTTGAACTTGACGCTCTTTGTCGGACATCTGTTGAGGAGGTAAACTGCACAGTCCACGGCTTCAGCCCAGTAAGTCTTTGGCAGGTACTTGCTCTTCAACATGCTTCTGACCATATCAAGAATGGTACGATTCTTCCGCTCTGCTATGCCATTCTGCTGTGGTGTGTAGGCGGCAGTGAGTTGATGAATTATCCCGTACTGCTTGTTGAAATTGTTGAATGCCTTCGAAGTGTATTCTCCACCTCGATCTGATCGGAGCACTTTGATGTGGTACCCACTTTGCTTTTCTACCATCTCCTTGAATTCTTTGAATTTCTCCAGAGCTTCGGATTTCTCCTTCAGGAAATAAACCCAAGTTTTTCTGCTATAATCATCAATAAATGTGAGAAAATACCTGTTTCCTCCAAGAGAGATGACTTCAAATGGTCCTGCAATATCTGTGTGGACCAATTGTAGCAACTCTGTTGCTCTTCTTGACTTTCCAACTTCGAAACTTCTTCTATGTTGTTTGCCCTTCATACAGCCTTCACATAGCTGGTTCGGATGGTTGATTTGCGGCAATCCTTTTACCATTTTCTCCTTCCATAGAAGATTCAGGCCACTGAAAGCGAGATGCCCGAATCGTAGATGCCAGAGCCAAGTCTCGTCTTTTATGATTGACTTCAAGCACTTGACAGGGTCAGCATGAATATTTAAGGTAAACAGTCTATTTCTAGACATGTTCACCTTTGCAATAACTTCATTTTTATTTTTAATAGTGAGGGCAAGGTCTTTTAGATGTATATCATAGCCTCTTTCAAGGAGCTGGCCTAGGCTCAAAATATTATTTCGTAATGCTGGAACATAGTAGACATCAGAGATGTACCTGTTCTCGCCCGTCTTTGTCTGGATCATTATATTTCCCTTGCCTTTTACTGGAATCTTTGACTGATCTCCAAAAGTGACATCTCCTTGTACCATCTCGTTCAGCTCGGTAAAGAACTCCTTGATGCCGCACATGTGGTTACTGGCACCTGAATCTAGATACCAGATATCTTTATTCTTGCTTTCGCTCTCCTGGTACGTCAACAGGACTGTTGAAGTGTCTGCCTGCTCCCTTTCTACAAAGTTGCTTCTTTCTGCCACTTGATTTGATTTCTCCCAACATTCGTAGCTGAGATGACCGTATCTCTTACATTTGTAACACTGTGGCTGAGATCTGTCCTCATGGTAACTTCTTCCTTGTCCTCGTCCTCGTGTGCCACGACCTCGTCCTCGATCGAATGATCGTTCACGATCTCTATTTCGATCTTGATTTTCATGGCCTCCTTGGTACTGTCTCCTACGACCTTGCTGGAAGTTTGAGCCACCTCGAAATGAGCCTCTGCCTCTGTAGCCTCCACGTCCTCTTCGACTATCTTCTTTGATAGTCATCTTACTCTGCAAGGCTTGTTCTAGATTCTCCGCTTGATTTGAACTAATGTTTATATCTTGTTCATAAGCTTGCAGAGAACCTTGCAGCTCATCAATAGATACTTCGGAAAGATCTTTAGACTCTTGTATTGCCGGAATAATATATTTGAATTTAGAGTCTAAAGTCCTAAGTATCTTCTCCATAATTCTTACATCATTAATTGCTTCTCCATTTCTCTTCATTTGATTTGTTATTGTCTGAACTCTACTAAAATAATCCGATATTGATTCTGTAGCTTTCATCTTCAAATTTTCAAATTCAACTCTTAATGCTTGGAGGCGTACCTTTTTGGCTCTTTCCGCACCTTGATAGGATTTTTGTAAAATCTCCCATGCTTCTTTAGAGGACAGGGCATTGGAAATCTTCTCAAACGCAGATTCATCTACGCCTTGGAATATTAGGAACAAAGCTTTTTTGTCTCTTTTTCTGACCTCCTTCAACTCACTCTTCTGAGTGGCGGGGGGAGGGGGTTTGCAAGTGACTCTGGTTCAGTGTAGCCATTCTCCACGAGCTCCCACAAGTCTTGCGAGCCGAGCAAGACTTTCATCTGGATACTCCAGTTGTCGTAATTGGTCTTCATCAGCTTCGGAATCTGTGGCTGGATCATGTTCGCCATCTCGTACACGAGCACCTTCGATTGGCCCGGCTAGATCGAACTTTGCTCTGATACCACTTTGATGGAATTTGAAGAACACAACACTCTACACAAAGGAAACTTTTATTGATAGAACACTTGAGAATACAACACTTGTTCTTACAAGAACACCTCACTTTCACACAATTCCTTTATTTTGGTGGACACTCACACAAGGCTACACTACACACTCAAGCTCTCAAGCTCACTTCTTGCTTGCTTGCTTGCTTTCCCAAATGAGAGCACAAGACCCCTATTTATAGTTGTTTAAGAGGGCTAGGAAGTGTGTAGAAGAGTTAATCCTAGCCATACATTACTAAGAAGTTTCTAGAAGAATAAATACTAGCCATACACTTGTATCTTCCTAGAAACTTCATGGTAGATATTTTGTAGGATGTTACTAGAAAGAAGTTCTAGAAAGTTGTTCTAGAATAATCTAAGTTGGTGAGGAATTCTAATAGTTATATGTCTTTTGTGTTTTCTTGAATCAGATAAAGCTCAAACAATTCAAAGAATAAAATTTCAATTGACATGGACCCTCCAAGTGAGAAACTAGAAGAAGAACTACATTTTTGTGAACAAAAAATTACCAGTCTAGAGGAGATCAGGCCTTACATATCCTTCGAGGATGCATGGAAGCGGGAGCTAGAATACCGTGATAGAATAGAAAAGAAGTCCCTACATTCTTCTATTAGTTCCAGAGTCCCTTCTGCAACTTCTCAGGTGAGAAAATGATTCTTCTTTTTTGTGAAAAACTGATAGCTAAAGGTGATAGTCGATCATTTATTTATTATTTTGTTTGCTTTACTTCTGGACAAGTTCTATGTCTATACTATTTTCGAATTGCCAATTTATTGTCTATACCATCAAACACCAGTGCCACCGGCAATTATTTAGTATTGATTCTGTTGAATTTGTTAAATTCGTGAAATGACAAAATTTAACGTGCCCGTTTGAAGTGGAAATATGGATCTATGAACATTTCCAGTTACAGTCTCCTATTTGTATGTGGTTTTGCATACATGACATTTGTCCTATTCTGCAAAAATTGTGTTCAGATATCCTACTACTGCAGTTAATCTGTATGGCTTTTTTCAGTGCGGAAGCAAGAAAAGACTTGGACCATATAATGCCTTCGACATCCTATAGCATTTAGGAGATCATAGATTAAAATCTGTACCTAAATAAGCAGTTTTCCTTTAAGAAGTATACAAGTATGTTTAAGCTTATAGTCTTCTATAGGATGTGAACTTCCTGAAACTTCTACTGGACTTCAATTTATTAGGTAGCTCCAAGATAATGATCATGTGAGAAGAGGCCTTATCGTCTACAGCATTACACAAAACCATAACAAGCACGGAACATTCCAGCACTATAAATGTTGACCTATGTTTCTGGAAGTAATGAGAATATATAGAGTTTTGTTATTAGACTACAAATAGGGTAGTAAAGCAGAAATGCTTTTGTAGGTATTCTTTCTATTATTATTTGTAAAAGATTTTATTGAGTGATTGGTTCTTATTATGAATTCGACTAGTTCTCTCTTGTCACATGCCAACAATTAACATCAAAGACATTATTGAACATGAATTGTGAATCTCTTTTCTCCTTTCTAGAATCAGCGTGCAAGAGATATGTAGAGAGAGTTATTACTATTGCATGCAAAAGGAGTATACAACTAAAGATTACAGTAAATTATACAACATAAAATATATCTGGAAGAACATAAATTTCCTCCAGCCAGAGACTGCTTGTAATGGATGTCTTGAATCTCTGCTGAATGCCACTTAACATAATGGAAATGAGCAATGAATTGTTCCTATTTTACCCCTAGGTAACACATGGCTTAAAGGTATATCATGTGTTAGTAATAATTTGAATCATTGTTTATACCTCAACTGCTACTCCAACCAGTGCCCTCCAAAACCCAACATGCGAGATTGTGATCTAGCCATGCATTTGCAGGTTTTTCGACTTACCTTATTATATATCCAATTTTTTGGATCTTGAAATTTTATTTGATATCATTATAATTGTTATCATATCTTTTCAAATATAGTGTGATTTGTATCCTCAGGAAAGAGTATAGTCTTCTTCGAAAAAAATATCAGTAATTGAATGACGAAATTTTGAACTCTCATTGTCCTCAATTTCACTTGTCTTCAGATGTATGTGTATACCTCTTCTCTATTCATATGCATGCAACCATTACATTCATAATTATCAAATTAATACTAGAAAATAGTTGTAAGTGAACTGTGGTCCCAATACTGATCCATTTTAGCCTATTCTCCATTCCACATATCATTCGTAGTAAGTTACATGTATATCAGAGTGTATCATACAGCGTTGCCTCTTTATTTAGCAACCTAAGTGCATACGAGTTCTTCTCTGCTTGCAAATGTTTTCTTTTTAGTTTTCCTTTTGGTACAAAGCATAATATACTTTTTCCCTGATGTATGAAACCACTAGATCATGCTTTATTTTACTGTAGTATAGTTCGACTGTTGCATATTTCACCGTCTAGGACACACCATGAAGTATATATCACTTCAATTAGTAAATACTTTCTCATTTCTCGTAAGCTCTGCATAAGAAAGATGAGATTTTCTGTATTTTGCTTTGACTTCCACACTAGTCTGCGGATAAAACTTGTCTAGGCGGTGCAATCCATAGAGTATGCAGATTGAGATAATGTTTTCCTTGTTGAGGAATTACATGGAGATAATGGTAGTGTACCTTTAATTCTGTGGTCAAATTTGTTTGCTCCTAGATCTTAATTCATGATCCTTTTCATGTTTTCTCCTAGGAGCTGCCTCCGAAAAATAATCTTTATGAAAGAAAGAGAAAAGCAACCTTTTCTTCAACTCCATTGGAGGAAGAATCTCCATCACCCTTAAATCAACACGCTTCATTAGAACAGAACAAGCCTTCATCTCAGCATTTACAGTGTAAAAGGTGCCTACCGCAACAACCATCATTCCACAAGCCTGCACTTCCTTTACTAAAGGAACCACAAACTTTAGCACTCGCTATGCAGTCCTCATCAAGCCCGGTGAACCAATTTTGGTGTAATATTTGTCAAGTGCCATGTATGAATGACTTCAGCTATAAGCAACACTGTCAAGGGAAGAAGCACAAGGCTAAATGGGAGGAGACCTTTGGAAACAGTAAGGAGGCTGAGATGAAAAGGCACAAGCTTTTATGGTGTAATGAGTGCAGTATCCTTTGTGTAAATGAATTGGCGTTATCTCAACATCTTGTGGGGAAGAAGCACACTATCCGTCTTCATGAGGTAAGACTTCTAAATGTTAGTAGTCCATAAGCTGCCAAGTTTTAGACTCTAAATTTGAGCAAACTTGAATGAAGCAAATTGTTGTATATGGCTTCAAGTTCAAGCTGAGTAAACACTGACAAGGTTCTAACTTAATTTTCCATGACTTATTATGAGAAAGTCGAAATTTTATGTTTTATGTTCTCACTCACGTTGGATCCTCTTGTAAAAGGTTTATATGTGTATGAGCTCTGGGTTATTAGTTCGCATTACTATATATATAATCTGCGTTAGTCTGACAGTTTGTTCTGGCTCCAGTTCTGAAGTCTGCATGCTCTTTATGATTGGATTATCTGGTATACACGATCATTAAATATCAACTGTATATCTGATCAGTAGGAAGACTTCATTCATCCAGTGTTAGAATTGTCGCTATATTATTGTGCTTTTTTAGGTCATCTAGGTCCTTAATATCTTCCGGTATATCTGATCAATAAGAAGTCAATCCTAATGTTTAGAAATCAAGAAGACATCATTCATCCAGTGTTAGAATTGTCGCTATATTATTGTGCTTTGAAGGTCATCTAGGTCCTTAATATTAAATCTTCGAAACAATCTTTCAACTCCAAACCACTTGTACCTTGCATGAACATATGAAGGAGGATGTTTTGAAGAAGTAATATCAATATATACATGAATAGAAGCAAGAAAATCCTGCTTTTTCTTCTTTTGATTTGTAAGAAAAGTGAGGAGTGTTTTGAGATATTAGCGATCACCTGAATACCATTAATGGAAGATTCCTTAGACCCTCATTCTGGCAAGCTAGTGAATGCTAGATTAGTTTCAGGAGATAAATTTGAAAAAGTACCAGTCACAAGTAGAGAATTATCCTATTTGATGTTTGAAATGACATGCAAGAAGCTTAAGGAGGATGAAGTGTATATTTTTTGGTTTTCACGTTAGGTGACCTTAAATTAGTTTCCAGGGTCAGGCAAAAAAAAAAAAAAAAGTTCCCCCAGTAAGTTCAGATAAGGAAGAGAAGATATGTGTCATATCTACGTGTGTGCATGTACAATTTACTTTGTGATAAACTTTTAATATTAAGAATATCTTGACCAAATTAAAGATGAAGATCTCTTTTTATATCCATGCTGGTCATAAATAATTGTTGGTTACAAAACTGGAAGAGGGGAGTACCACAGAGCAGGATGTAAAGATCAAAATGATTATTCAGTCTCTACAGATGAAATTTCATTGAGTCTGAGATAAAAATGATAAAAGGCTTTTCATTCTAGATAAGATCTGAGGTATAGAGTTCTATCCCGTCTCTCTCATTATGAAGAAGGAAGTTCTTTTTCTTCAATTTTTTCTCCTTTTATATTTTCCTTCTTATATAGAGGTATAGAGTTCTATCCCATCTCTCGCATTATGAAGAAGGAAGTTCTTTTTCTTCAATTTTTTCTCCTTTTATATTTCCTTACCACAGAAAAATGTGTGTCTAGGTCAGGGCCGGCCCTGGGGTAAGCCCACCAAGCCCCGGGGGTGGGGCAACCCAGGGCCGAGGGGCAACCATCGCGATTACATAATTCATCTCTCAAACCGTAATAATTTTCGAAGTGGACTTTGTAAGAGGACTTTTATACAAAAATTGTTAGGGGTTCTATTAGTAAAAAACTCTTATTAATACCCAAAGCCCTACCCAACTCCTCCTTTATTTAACTCCTCCTTTATTTCCATCAACCTCCTCTCCTCCTTCTCGTCTCTGTTCCGCCGCTCACAAAAAAAAACGAAGAGAATCTGAATCGAAGGAGACACCGCTCTGTTCCGCCGTCTCTGTTCCGTCAACCTCCAACTCCTCCTTCCCGTCTCTGCTCCCATCCATCGGACCACCCCGCGAAGGACCACCCCGCTGACTCCTCCTTCGATAGTCTGATCCAGTCACCCAAAAGACGGAGAGAATCTGAATCGACTTATCGACGCCGACGGCCGATCGGTCCATCAAAGAAACACAATCAGATAATTTTTTAAATAAATAATTTTAGGGTTTTTTGGACGGAAATTTGGGGTTTTGATGTTTTGCAATGAAATTAAGATTTTTGATTTTGAATTTTGGTTGAATATTAGTTGTTGAATTAGGGGTTATGATGTTTGGGCGGTTTCGTCCAGATTTTTGTTTTGAAACTGGAAATTAGATTTGATTTAGCTTATTGGGTGGCACAGTTATGCCTTCTGACTAGTTTCTCACGGTCTCCATAAGTTTAAAAGAAGCTTAGCAAAGTTGAAAAACAGAAAGAGAAAATAATGTTTACTTGTTAAAAAGTTTATCTCCCTTCTAGTCATCTAAAACTCGAAAATCCTAATGGACGATAATCTGATATATTTCTATTTGGTTTTAATTATAATCTCAATTTAACTTTGATTTGATGACATTCATATTATTGGATTGCGATTTAGATTAATTGTTTGATTGTTTTAATAATAATGATATTGCTAAGTCTTCGTTCCGGCATCAATTTAGTTGATTGTTGTGATTTCATATATGTTATCTTCGCACTACCATGTCACATGATTGATTGAATAGATTGGCAATGATATCAATTGAAAATGAATACTTCGAGAAACTCGAGTATGGTGACTTAATTAATTGAAGAATTCGCTTCAAAAAATTCAAGGAGAAGTGTTTTTCTTTAAATTAAATTGTAGCACAAATGTAATTTTTTCTTATATGAATATTGATTTTGCAAGAGAATATTATCAGTTTGAGCCCAATATAGAACGCTAAATTGTATTATATGTATTTATTTTTATCGTTATTGTTCGTACCAAATTTTTAATATAAGGGGCAACCAAAATTGGATTGGGCTATGGCAACCCAAACCTCGGGGCCGGCCCTGGTCCAAGTTCGAACCATTTTGTTTAGTAGTTTATATAATGGAAACACTTGGAATAAAAATTATAGTTCAGTAGATTATTGTTAGATACTTGTAATTACTAAAACGGTTTTAAGAGATCAGTGAGAAGAATGATCGACATGCAGTTTTATCAGTGAGAAGAATGATGGACAGAACATTCCCAGCTAAACTATGTTCCATTGAACTTCTGGAATGAGGTGTACGAGACTGAAGCGCAAGTTTCAGGGTAGATTACATTAAACTTGGTTAGAGGTCAGGTGAAATCCTTTAAATAGAAACTGCATAAAGATGTTTGTAGAGAATTGAGAAAATCCTAATTGTTGTTTATTGAGAATAACAAGAGAGATATATATAGTCATACAAATAGGGTTAAAGTTAACGAGTAACAGCCCATTAACCCAATACCCAATACTTAACTTAACACTCTCCCTCAAGCTGGAGCATAGTTGTCTACCATGCCCAGCTTGTCATATATAGTAGAGAACACCTTTGAAGAAGTAGCATTGGTAAGAATATCAATAAGTTGTTGTGAGGACGGAGTGAATATGAGAGATACTATCTTCTTCTCTCAAGCATCTCTAACAAAATTGTAGTCAACTTCAATATGTTTTGTCCTCTCATAAAACACAGGATTCTGTGCAATATAAATGGCAGACTGGTTGTCACAATGTATTGGCATGGGTCCAGGCTGAACAAAACCAAACTCTGTCATAAACTTTCTTAGCCACACCATCTCACAAGCAGTGTGAGCCATTGCTCTATATTCGGCCTCTGCACTAGATCGTGATACTACATCTTGTTTCTTGCTTCTCCAAGTCACAAGATTACCTCCAACAAAAGTACAAAATCCTGAGGTTGACTTCTGGTCTCCCATGTCTCCTGCGTAGCCAGCATCAGAGAAAGCCGAAATGTGAGTATGCACATGCTTCTTATGTCTCCTGCGTAGCCAGCATCAGAGAAAGCCGAAATGTGAGTATGCACATGCTTCTTATATAACAATCCCTTGCCAGGACAACTCTTAACATATGCCAAAATCTTCAGAGCTGCTGTCCAATGAACCTCTCTAGGTTTGTGCATAACACCTACTGTAAAAGTAATATCAGGTCTGGTAACTGTCAAATATATTAGCTTCCCAATTAGTCTCCTATATCGTGCAGCATCATCTAGTAGAGAGGTATCATCACGCCACAAATCAACATTTGCCTCCATTGGAGTGCTTGCAGGTTTGCATTCCAAGAGACCTGCTTCTTCTAGTAAATCTAGCACATACTTCTTTTGGGACAACAACATGTCATGTTTTTTATATGCAACTTCAATCCTAAGAAAATACTTTGGCTTTCCCATGTCCGTAGTGATAAAATGACGGTTTAGATACTCCTTAGTCTCAGCTAAGGCAATAGAGTCACTCCCAGTCAGCAGAATATCATCAACATATACGGCTAAAATAACCAAACCAGTTGTTGTGCGTCGAAGAAAGATAGAGTGATCAGACTGACAACGTTAGAAACCAACATTAGAAATAACCTTGATGAACTTATCAAACCAAGCTCGATGACTCTGCTTTAACCCATAGATGGTCTTTCTCAGCCTGCAGATAATATTCTCCCCCTGAGCAACATACCCAGGAGGTTGCTCCATATAAACCTCCTCGTCTAAATCACCATAAAGGAAATGATTCTTCACATCTAGTTGGTACATCGCCCAATCCATATTAACAGCCAGAGAGAAAAGAATTCTGATGGAGTTGAGACGAGCAACGGGAGACAGAGAGAAAAGAATTCTGATGGAGTTGAGACGAGCAACGGGAGAAAAGGTTTTAAAATAGTCGACGCCATATGTCTGGGTATAACCTTTAGCAACCAGGCGAGCTTTATAACGGTCAACAGACCCATTAGGGCGATATTTCAGGGTATACACCCATCTGCAACCAACCACAGTTGCTCTAGTAGAAAGAGAAACCAAGTCCCAAGTCCCTCTAGAAAGTAGTGCATTCATTTCCACATCTATGGCCTGCTTCCAAGATGGTACTAACATAGCTTCCTCATATGACCTAGGTATAGATACAGTGGATAAGGACAAGGCAAACTGACGAAAAGATGGATTGAGACGGTCATAAGAGACAAAAAGAGATATAGGATATTTCGGACAAGACCGTTTACCTTTGCGAAGAGCAATAGGGATATCCAAGTCAGAAGGAATAGAGGTCTCAACATGAGATGGATCGACAGCTGGAGATGAAGCTTCAGCAGTAGCAGATTCAGGGGCATGTACTTTTGGGCGGCAAGAGTATGTCAG